GAGAATATTTGCGACAAAGTCAAGAGGCACAGCATAGGTAAGGTTGTCCAAATGAGTAGACAGATGAGACAGGTACCAATTTTTACAACAGATTGCCAAGTTATGTGAGGTCTTGTCGACAGGAACAATAGCAAAGAGTTGTTGAAGGTGTCTCAAAGCCCTCTGCACTGAGTGAAGGGAGTGCGGTTGTCATGTGGTAGTGTGGGGGGATGAGATGTTGCTTTCGCAACGTGTGAGAACAGCTGAGCGCCACTGCTGCAATTTGTTAAGAGTGGTCGGCCGAAGCTACTCGGAGACCGACCTCAAGTATTTAGGAATATACTTGTTAAGGCCGACTCTAACAGTCTGAAGCACATCAGCAATTTGTCCATTAAGACGATACTTCGAGTCGTCATGGAACAACTCGCGGAGGCGGTCATCAGGAATGATGTCGTAGTCGGCTATAACAACATGGCCGTCGACTAAGTGTGAGCAGTCAGGAAACACTTTCCGACATTGACAGTCTAAGGGATCAGGCAGGGAGATCCCAGGTGTGGCGCTGAGCGCAACTTCCGTGAAATTAGAGAATTTGACGCGAGTTGGCAGCAATGACTTATCACAGATACGCAGGTGTGCTGCGGCATCAGGGTCAAGGTGCAAGTGGAGCACCTGGGTTGCATGCAGGGCTTGTTGCAGCCCCCTTACCTGAGACACCTCGTGCATGTGCACAACTTTAATATGATCAAGAAAGGCATCTCGAGACTGAGTTGTGTATCGCTGGCGGACATGTTGATGCTTCCGAATCAGGCATTCAAGCTGACGGATATGCATAATTATATCTGCATTGGAGATATTATTGCTCAACCACTACAGCAAGCGGGCACGCCAAACTGTTGTTGCTCACTGGATGACAAATTCCATCTGTTGCGAATTGCCAGCAACAGCCTGTGAGAGAAGATTGTGCAATGCAGAACGGACTTGAAAGTCGGGGCCTGGACGCAAGTCAATAGGCTGGGGCTGTTGATGGTCTGACGAACGAGGGCCTGTATGTGTCCACCGATGAGGCCGACATTGTCGTCTTCTTGCAGGCAGGCGAGCAAGCGGCA